GGTCTTCATGTTGGAATGAAAACTGCAATCCTAGTTAAGGTCGTAGTTACTGTTATCTTTTGAGTGGTGGTCATTGTTGTCTCCTTGATAATCTTCTTCACGATAATCGTTCATGAGAACAATAAAGTCATCATAAATGATGTAATCAAAATTTCAAAAGGATTTTGATTTAAATCAAGATTCATCTTGTAATTCATAAATGACGAATAAAAGATGCAAGGCCGTTTCTAATTCTTAGTCATTTTTTTATTTTATCGATGAGTAGTTAAGTGAATCGCCAAATAATGGTGAAAATGTACGGGATTTTTAGTTTGGATTTTTTATACATGATCTAAATTGTGATAAGATACAGGAGAAAAATAAGGAGAGAAATATTAAAACGCATAGTTATAATTAAAAATTAAAATAAAATCCAATCTCTTTTTATAAGCGTGTAATACAACTCCTAAAACAAGTCTACTATCTAGTGTAAATCATGTTTAGGATATAAATTGCCTTAAACTGGCTCTTTTGTTGTTTTTTTATTTAATACTTATATCTAGTTTTTTTATATATAAAACCACTTTTTCTGCCCGTTGAGAGTGCCACGTGGCAGAAATCATTTTGTACTAAAAAAGGCCTTTGCCGAAAAAATTTTCAATGTAGAGCTAACACCTGTCCTTCTTGTATGTTGCTTTAATTAAGTATTATGGATTATTTGAGCAATGATAAAGATGGTAAAAAATATATAGTGAAAATACATAATGATTGATATGTACATAATAATTAGGGATAAAAGAATAAATTTAGGTGGATGATAAAATTTTAACGACAAAGTGACAACAAAATAGGGGTACTGGTAATGGCTAAATTGTTACATAAAAGCATCACAATTAACTCTGTATTTGATAAGAAATTGGGGGTATTTCCTAACGTTGGTGCAATTTACTTAACTCGTTTTTATGTTGTTGTTAGGTAAGGGCTGGATTGAATAATTGCTGAAAATTGGAAGCCAAAGGAACAATTTATGGGCTGCTGAGGCAAGGCTGCTAAGCTGGACGAAGAAGAAGGCCCTTAGACAAGAAGCATCTTGTCATTAATGACTTTGCCTCCTCCTAGAGGCATGCTTGTCCCCCAGCCGCAATCTCAGCCACCACTGCTGATCAATGAAAGCAAGACGGCCACTGCTGGAAGAGAGAAAAGGAACGGCCAAGTTGGATTGCAGGCTCAAGACATTGGGAGGATTAAACAACTCCAAGCATGGGGAGGCTCTCATGATGAAGACACCGGTTGCAAGGCCCTATAAAAGAGGGAACTGCACTCTCAAAAGGGGGATGCATCTCAATCTCTAGTTACCCCTTCAGTTGCTAAAAACACCCAGAAAAACTCCAGGTAGAAGGCAAGAAGAAAGAAGAAGCAGCAACAACTCAGTGAGGAAGCCAAGTTGAAGAGTAGCAACCCAATTTCTTCTTCAGTTCTACGAGTGAACCCCTTCACTCCCAAGAGTGGCTCAGAAACTGCACAAGCTTCCTTCTCATCTCTTGATTGTTAGCTTGAACTTTGTTTACTATGTATACTTCTATGATGTCTTTTGATGTAGTAGATGTAGCATTAATCCGTATGAGTAGCTAAACAGTTCCCGGGGTTATTCTCCTCGACTGATGTTGTAGTTGTTAAGACACTGGTTTTGTTCCTTGTTTTATGGTTGAAAGTTTTTCTACATTCATTTACTTGATCACTAAATTGAATGCATGCTATAACTAAGGGAGATCTGGAAAGATAAACTTGGTTTGGATTGTTTCAACTTTAACTTATGACATAGAGGTAACAGTCTATGGTTTTAACTAAGATAGGAATATACTTAGTTGACATAAGCATTCTTGAAGGCCTAAGAACTTAATGACTTTGTAGCTGGAATCAATCATTGGAAAATAGGTTGTTAAGGTTGCAAAGATGACTCTAGGAAAAATGGGAACTGACTTAGAGTTATAAGTGAGCTGAATGAACAAGAACGTAACCATTATAGTGCTCATAAAACAACTACAACAGTAGGAAGAGGAGAAGAATACCCCTGGCTCTCATTCCCCTGAGTGACTGTTTCCATTCCTCTGAGTGACACCTTGTCTGACTGATAGTCTTTCTTTACAACAAATTTGGTAATTAGCTGTCCTCGTGGGATCGACCTAGCTTCCATTATCTACAAAAATCATAATCCAAGCTAGTAATATTTTTGGTGAACTCGGCAAGCACCAGATACATATCAGTCACTACTTTTTTTTCACTTTCACTTTTCACTACGTATCATTTTCCTAATTAAATATATATATATATTAACTTTTTTCGAAAATAAAAGACCAATATCATTATATTGTTTTGCTCCAGACCAAAATATTATAGGGAAAACAGAGTTCCTCTCGGAGGTTATAACGTGCAAAGAAAAAGAAAAAAGGAAAATGATTTAATTGCATTCACTCCCCTCTCCCCCCAACAAAAAAAAAATCAATAAGGAGATAATGTGGAATACCAACTACATAAATTTGTGAAGATGAGAACAGAGTTAAATTTGTAAAGTGGAATATCATTCCTCTCAAGAACTATATCGATTTGAGAACTTTCTAGTAATTTTATTCTTACATTAATTTTTCCAAATTAAAACGACAAAAAGCCCTATACTGTCGCGGCATTATAACTTGCCCTCTGTCCCAAAGTAAATAAATTTGAAGGCTCATGCTTGTTACTGGGCGAATCTTCTAATAATGGAAGATATCTGGAAAAATTAGCGTTCATACCCAAAGCTTTGGGTCCATCATAAATTCTACCCTATTGATTTTCAGTTAGCCAATTTTTGTCCTTACTGTTTGAAATTTGGTCAATTCTACCCAATTGGCCCAATTTCTGTTAAACTTAACGGATTTCCGTTAGTTTTTAACCTAAAACACCCTGATAGTTTCAAAAAATTATAAATAATAACTCTAAAAATATATAAACATAACAAAATAGTCCCTTTTTATTCATTTTTTCCTATTTCATTTTATTTCTCTTTATTACTTTATTACTTTTCATTTCACTTTATTTTTCATGTGCACCACATGTTATTTGGATTGAGGGGTAATTTTGTCATTTTAAATTTTTAAAATTTTAATTTCTTTTTTTATTCGTCTTTTTTTTGAGATTCTTTTTCTTATATTTCCTTACTTGTATATATTGATACTAGAATAATTATTAAATTTTAATAATTAATTTACCGTTTAATTTCATAGATTATAAAAACTTTAACATAAAGAAAATGAGGAAGAAAAACTTAAGCTGAAATAAAAATTAAAATTAATAGTTTTTCATTCTAAAAAAAAAGCTAAAAAACCTTTAAAAAAATGCAAAGACATGTCTTTTCTCCTTAACTTCTTCTATTTCATAGGTAAGTTATGAAACATAATTTTACTTGATCTAACCTAAAATGATTAATTTGTTCTTTGTAATAAAAATAATACAAGTCATGTAGTATAATATAGTAATTATTTTGCAAACAAATACACGTATTTATCTTTTTCAAGAAATTCAATAATTGCATATGTAGTTTAGCAACCGCCAATCAGCCAAAAAACAAATTTTATTAAAAAAGAATAAAAATAGTGTTAACCAAATTTACAGAAATTCATTATTGTGGACTAATTAAATTAGCACCTTTTGATGTTTCAAATGATTGTCTAATTTTCATATTATTTTTATTACAACGAACTAAATAATTATTTAAGGCTAGATCAAATAAAATTTATGTTATGTAACTCACCTATGAATTAGAGGAAATAAAAGAGGAAAGACTTCTCTTTGTAGATTTTTTTTCAAAAGATTTTTTCGATTTTTATTTAGAATGATAAACTATTAATTTTCATGTTTATTTCAACTTGATTTTTTCTTCCTTATTTTTTATGTTAATTTTTTTGTAATCTATGAAATAAAAAGGTAAATTAATTATTGAAATTTAAATAATTATACTAGTATCACTATATACAAGTCAGGAAATATAATCTCAAAAAATAACAAATAAAAAAATTAAATTAAAAATTTTTAAAAATGTAAAATGATAAAATTACCCCTCAATCCAAATGACATGTGTTGCACATGAAAAATAGATTTTGAAAATAAATAATTATTTTTTTAAAGGTCATATAGTATATGTTGATAGTTATAAAAAGTAATAAAGAGAAATAAAATGAAATAGAAAAAAATGAATAAAAAAGACTATTTTATTTTATACATATATATATATATATATTAGGGTTATTTTTATAATTTTATAAACTATCGGAGTATTTTTGGTCAAAAACTAACGAATATCCGTTAAGTTTAACGAAAATTGGGCCAATTGGGTATAATTGACAAAAATTTCAAACAATAAGGACAAAATTGACTAATCAAAAATCAATAGGGTAGAATTGACGATGAGCCCAAAGCTTTGGGTATGAACGCCAACTTTTCCGAAGATATCTCATCATTCATTAATCAATTAGCCGAATTTAGATATGCAAATTTTTTTTTTCCTATTAAGGCACCACTATAGGAATATATACCCTTCAATCGCTCGAACATACTAGTTGGATCCAAGATATATTATTCCCGAGATTTGGTTAATATTCTGAAGTTCCAATGTCAAAACTCCAAGGTAATCACACAAGAATTATAAGAAAACCCTAAATTTTGATCATAAACAAAGACCCTTTGCGAAAAAAAGCCCTGTTGAGTGAGTATTTAATTAGCAGGGAGGCTATTATTAGCTTTCTAGTGGTGAACCCTTTCAAATCTTGACCAAATTTAGTGTAATTTTCTTGATTGACCTCTTTCGGATCATTACATAGTGGACTGAAGTTCAAAAGAACCTTTGTTTCTCCATACAATCCTTTTTTTTTTTTTGGCTTTTCTTTACTTCGTTTTTTTTTTTGGTTTTTTTTTTTTTTTGACTTAGGATGTTTATTGTTAATGGGTAGCGAAGGTTGAAACGCGAAGTTCAGAGTGAAGTATTTCAGATGGGGGCGTGTTTTAGTGTGGAAGCCTTTTTTCAAAAGGCGGGATTTAAAGGTAGTACTAATTTTGGATATCTATCTGCATTGTTTCTTATTCTTTTTTTGTTTTTTTCCCAACAACATGATTCATATTATCTGTTTTTTTTTTCCGTTTCTTTGGGGTTAAAATTGTGTACTCAGTTGCTTTTAGTTATTCGTTTTACGCGTAGTTGATAAATATAAAATTTTGTCTTGATTTAGCAATATTAGTTTGTGCGGAAGTGAGTACTTTCACTTTAATTTCTTGATGGAAATTGGGTGACAATGTTTGACTATTTCTTTGTATAACAAAACCAGGGGAAAACTTTAGTGTTTGTAACTTTGTATACTCATACAAAAGCAAATAACTGAAATAACTGTGGAGCCAATTCGCTGCGTTATTTTTTGAGTGTCACCCTATGTAAGTTATTGATTCATCCTCATGTATACCTGATACAATTGGACTGAGAGATACATTTATTAACATGGATGGTCATTTCTCCTGAAGGGAAGCATATTAAATACCTTTGAATTATGATGGTCAAAGGAGGAAATATTATTATCTGCATTTTTGAAAGAGTTTGATAATTTCCATCTTGAAGTTATTTCTGACCTCTTTTGGTTGAAAAAATTTCAGCTTCACATCAATTTACTGAATTATCTGACAAAGAATGTTCTGCACCACCTATAGCCCCGGCAAATGTGCCACAAATTAGTAGTCCTGAGCGGATGAACACTGTTGTTGTAGCTTCAAAAGATGTGAAGGATTTGCGTCGAAATCCAATAAGTGGACTTGATATTTTCTCATATAAAGAAATGAAACTCGCTATCAAGCACTTTCCACAAGATCAGGTCCTAGGGGACGGTGGGTTCGGCACTGTTTATAAAGGAGTTGTAGATGGCAATGTGCGGCCTGGTTATAAGACCATGAGTGTGGCCATCAAAGAACTTGATCCTCAAAGTCAGCAGGGAGACAGGGAATGGCTGGTAACGCACTCGGCCTTGGATGTCTTGTGTGTTATGCATTTTGTTTATGTGTGTGTGTGTGTGTTTTATTCAATTTATTCATTATTTACAGTTACGATTTACTTTCATGATGAGATAAAATCCAACGAGGCCATCCAAAGTAGTGAGAAAATGAGTGAGCTTTAAAATGGTTGAGGAATGTGGAATGCAAGTTGCTGAAAGCATTTGTAGTTATTAGCTAATCACCTTTCGTTACAATTACTTTTATTGAAATTGACTTAATATGGGATCCTACTTATCATCGACTTGGGTGCAGGAGTTTATTATAGTTTTGTATCTTAAAGCTATGTATAGGATTGGCACCATATTAATTTAGACCTTCCTGTTCAGATATTTTTATTGACCAGTAATCATGACACTACCAATTTGCTTACTCGTCAGAGAGTTAAGCCACTTAAAATGCAGGTTTTAATTATTTATTTTACTATAAAAGCTACTCCAGAATAGACATGATTTTCCTGACTGCTAGACTAATCAAACAAAATTTTGAAATTGTATATGCTGTTTTGGACACTGCCCTCATTTATGGCAAAATTTTTATCAATGTATGAAATCCAACCCATGTCTGTTTGATTTTTGCAGAAAGTAATCATTGTCAATTTGAGACTTTGCAGGCCGAAGTGAACTACTTAGGGCAACTACGTCACCCTAACCTTCTCAGGCTCATTGGCTATTGCTGTGAGGATCACCATAGGCTGTTGGTGTACGAGTATATGCAGTCTGGAAGCGTGGAGAAACACTTATTTCGTAGTAAGTAGCTGCTTATTTTCTCTAGCTAGGACTTTATTTTAAATACCTTAGTTAACTTCAAGTATCTCAAATAGTTGTGCTTTGAGTAGTAATCAACTAAGAGTTTAACTGTTACGCTACACCCTGAAATTCTGAATTCACTAGTTGCAACTCTCATTTTGCACGGGTTTGTGATCGTCAATGGCTCTAGGTTGTTTGTTTTCATATTGGAAGAGATCTTACTGGATATTGTCATTTGCAAAACAAATGGCTCTTGGTTATTTTGTGATTTTTCTTTTGTTGGCATTGATTATGTGGTGTTCGTGCATGTGTATACTCAAATGTTTCTCTCTTCATTTTAGGACGATCCCTAACATGGTCAAGAAGGATGAAAATTGCATTAGATGCTGCGAAGGGACTTGCTTTTCTTCATAATGCAGAAAGGCAGATCATATATAGAGATTTCAAGACTTCCAACATCTTACTGGATGCGGTTAGTTGTTTTCATGCAGAATCTGCTTGTAGTGAAGATAATTTTACTTCTTGCTGCCGTTGTGTGATTGAATATTCTTTTAGAAAGTTTCTTTTTACGTCAAACTGTGATTAACTCTAAACTAGAATTTATGCAATAATCAATGAATTAAAGGTTGAGAGTACTTTTTTTTAAAAAAAAAGTGAGTAATAGATGGAAAAATGAGTTGGGATGTACAAGATATGCAATCATTAGTTCATTTCACAAGGAAAAGGGTAAAACCTAGAAAGAAATTTTGATGCTGAGATGCGTTTCGCAACTGAAGCAAAACTATTGATGGTGTCTTACACACAACTGAGATATGTGTAAAATAAGGTTAGCATCAGCTAGTTACAGGGAAGGTAAAAAATGCTACTTGTAGGCTATTCTCCAGAAAGTCTCAAATGGTACAAAATTTTGAAGTCATTTTTACGAGAAAAGACGGTTTTGGACATCCGTTTGTGGACTGTGGTGTCAATGTGGTGATATTCTCGGTATTGGTGCAATGTAAACATGCAGGACTTTAATGCTAAACTGTCTGACTTTGGACTTGCGAAGGATGGACCTACCGGCGATCAGACACACGTGTCGACGAGGATCGTGGGTACGCATGGTTATGCTGCTCCAGAGTATCTTGCGACTGGTAAGATTTATGATTAGAAAGCTGACGACGATATAATTTCTGCCGAGCTATGCCTTAAAACCTTAATTTCCACTGCATATGGAAAAGGCATTCTTGTGAATCTTTGCAAGATCCCTCGCGGAAAAGGCTTTCTTATTTTTGTTTGTAGAGCATTGTTTCCTACATTGGTCACTTAATCTTGTAGCATTTTCTCTCTTCTTCTTAAGTTGACTTCGTTCTGTACTTGGTTCTTTTTTCGTTTTGAAATTCTGTGGCCTAAATGTTGCTTTTATATGACCAATACTGAAATTTACAGGACATCTAACTGCAAAAAGTGACGTCTTTGGGTTTGGGGTAGTTTTGCTTGAGTTGCTCACTGGAAGAAGAGCAACAGAAAGATACGGGTGTAGCGGGGAGTATAACCTTGTCGATTGGGTGCGCCGACTGCTGATTCAACCCAAGTTGCTTTTAAGAATAATAGATCCTAAAATGGACGGGCAATACTCAGTGGAAACTGCTACAAAGGTTGCCGGTCTAGCATCTCTCTGTCTTTGCGAGAAAGCAAAAAATAGGCCTAATATGAGTTATGTTGTCCAACTACTCGAAGATGTTAACAATAATCGTTTTGATGAAGTACCTGAACAAACGGAGGGGACAGCGAACAATGAGCAGCGCTCATGCAGGCGAAGATACGAATTGATGGGGCAAAATTGAAAATATCCGAAGGAGTTTGAACTCAACAACCCCTTCTGGAGATGCTGGACTATATGAGAGATGAGAATCAGCTTAAAGAACGTGATGAGAGAATTCATCCTGTAAGCAATTTCAGGGCGTATGAAATTTTGAGACTTTGTTTTTGTGTTCTAATTAAGGATTGCGGGAGATTTAAGATGTTGATAGCGGCATCATGTGTGAAAATGATTCAGTTAGATTTTTCTGTGTGCATTTTATTCGAAGATTTTTTTTATCATAGGTTTAAATTAGGATCGATATAACATGTTCAGAAACCAATAAAAAATTCATTCATAAATTATTCAATTAGGAACCTGATTGAAGTGCAAGTTCGCGCATGATTAATTAGCATAAATACAAGTTAACACAATAAAAACGTACGCCCTCCGCCACAGAAAAATAATTCACGTATTTATAATATTCTTTTTAGTATCAATCACAAATAGTGGTGTGAATTATTCATTTTAAAGTAGAGGAAATAACTTTTTAATGTAATTTTAAGAGTTTCCGCTAAGAAATCATGTTGCACTGCATAAACTATAAACTGATAAAAGAAAAGCGGCACAATCTAATACAGCGAATACTTTTCTCGCAAAGGTTTGGTTTTGGTACGAAAATCTTTTTGCATGTCCAGAAGGAACCAAAAGTTAGATGTTCGTATTCATTCCCCCATTAAGTTCAAAAATAATGTAAGTGTCATTATAATGATAGTTATTGTATTTTATTATTTTTTCTATCTCTGTTATGTTAAAAGTTAACGGTCAAATTCTCAATCATGAACTTGTAAAAAGGATTATTTTGTAATTTAAACAAAATTTTCCTTAAGAACTTTACTTTCTTTTTAGTTTTCTATTTTTATTCCCGTCTTTTACATTTAGAAAACATTTCAAAAACTTTTTTAAAAAAAGAAAATTATAAAAAATTATGTTTTTAACAATCCAAAAATAAATTCAAACAATCCTTTTAAAACCGTAAAACTTATCCACTATTGTTGAAGCTATTAATAAATTATTTATTCCACTAGATAATCATCTAAAATAATAAAAAAACAAATCACAAAATTTCAAGAACCATTAGGGTCTGACAAAAAACAAGAACTTGGGCATGCTTTTTTTAAAAAAAAAAAAAACAAAAACCAATGTTTTATCAATTTATTGTTTGTTTGTTTGGCTTTGAACAATACTGGCTTAAACTAATCAAGAAAACACCTTTTGGGTGGCGGAGGAATGGAACGGACGGTGATTTTGGTATGTCGCAAAGAACTTAAAACTAAAAAATAATTATTGACTAGTACACCGAACATAATGACCAAATTAGATGAATCAATATATATATATATATATATATATATATATAATCACCCTTAATCGTTTGTTCTCGAAAATCTCAAACCTAACTCTCTTATACCGTATAGGATCTGTCTAATTTTTGGGGTTGTATCTTTGAATTCCAAGCCCTAATCGGTGAAGAAACGCTAATTCTTTGGCTAATTCAGTTTTCTTTCTATTTTTTTTTTCAATTCTTTTCTAAAAGTTCATTGAATTCCAATAATATTCACTCGTCAATGGAGGACATCAGCAGCAATATCATAAGGAGAAGAAGCATCACAGAATTGCCTGAAGAAATCATTCATCATATCCTCTCTTTCCTCACAACCAAACAAGCAACCCGAGCAGCTTCTTCCTCCAAGGACTTGTACAAGGCTTTCCTCACTGTTCCCACTTTGGTTTACATATATTTATCTTCACATGACACAATTGAACTCTATCAGATGATTTCCACTTCACGAAGGTACCAAAACAACAATATTTTTCTAGGCACTTACTATTTTTGCTACCTTCATCCCAACGTTTCAATGATGAGTGTATCGTACTTGCATGCATCGTACTCGCAGCCAATAGAGGTATAAGATACCTTGATTTGAACCTTCATGGATTTGATGTCTTCGATTTTCCTTTACAAGTTCTTGAACTGAAATCCCTAGTTGAATTAAGACTAGAGCGTTGTAGCTTGATTGTTAAGAGACTACATGACGAATTTGCACATGGAATAATGGATTCATGTTTTGGGTTTGTCGTCCTCGATTATCGAAAGCAAATTGGAGTAGGGCTGAAAGTCGCTTTACGGGAGTAATATATGAGGTGTTATTGCAGCAAGGTAAACCTAAGTATTCCAATCGTCCACATATTAAGTTTTGGCATAACAGTTTGAAAGAAGTAAAAGATGTTACAATGTTATATGGTAGTTCATATGTACACGAGAAACAAATCGATCATTTGGGTATCTTAAGTTAACTTGAGTTAATTTCAAGACTTGAGTTAACTTGAACGCAAAAAATATCAAACATTGGTGCATTGTTGGAGATAGATATATAGTCATTTTGTTGTTGTGCTTTTTTTTTTTTTTTGTGACAGTCGTACTTTCGATCTCTATGTTTAATGTAAATAAGTTCCACAAATTTGACATGGATAGCCTCAAATTTAGAGAAATTAAATTGCAGAGGAATGTGCTCTGGCTTTGTTTGTTTGCATGTGTGTTTATCTGAATTGATGGCAGACAATTCTGACTTTCCCTAAGAAAGACTGTTCATCTGAAAAAGAAAAAAAATGTTTGATCCACTTTAGTTTTCAGCTAGCAAGTTTCAATTTTCTCTTGCATCCAATTTTAGCAGCAATTAAAATAATTTTAAAATGTCTGCTTTTAGAAGTAATTGAGATTTCTTTGTTACTTTTGGGTATTTTCAGCACCTGAACAGTCTCAAATTAATTCTGATTCGGATTTGAGTTGACTACATGAATATCGAGATCCAAAAACCTCTTAACAGACATTTTAATCACTCAAACATCCATTATCAAAAGATTTATTTTATAATAACAATAGATTTTACTTGGTTGATTATATACAATTTAAGAAGTGTAAAAGATTAGATATCAACATTCTGATGTTCAGGAGGCATCAAAATTTTAAGCACCCAAGGTTAAGCCAATTACCTTTACTGCAATCTATGCTGAGGACAGATGTCATAGTGGATGAAAAGTATAAGGTTAAAGCTAAAATGTATCAAGGAACTGATCATTGTTTCGGAGGTTAGGTCAGGTGTTCAGAACTTCAAATGAACATCCATCAAAGATAATGAAGGAGCAAGTGTATTATCTTGTTAAACATCAGACTTGGTCATCCTTCTACAGAAGGTTCATGTCCTCTGAGATCATTTGAAAATGTTTAGGAACTTAGAAGAATTTGAAGATGCTGATATCGACCAGGGTTGCTCATAATATCCCAACAGAACCAACAAGCGGGATCAGCTCCGTCAAAGAAGTAATACTACCTCCATTTTTTTATCTGCCGCATAAGTGTGGATCCAACAAAAAATTTTATCTGTCTATCTCTATATCCATTGCAGTATTAATTAAGTAACTTTCCAAATATTACACCGTCATCTTTTTCTGTTTTTTACTTTTAATAACATATATATTAATGATAATTACTTATTTTTTATTCAAATTTTAATTCTTGTATATTACAAACACTTTTTCAATTAAGGACAAGAAAGTATTAAACTTAAAAAATCAAACGCCCGGCCCTTGTTTTTTAATACTTTTACATACTAATGCAACAGGAGGTGTAGTTTGCAAACCTTTGGAAGAAAATTGTCACGACATCTCCAAGGGAGGGAAAATTCTGTTGCTAGCAATCATGTTCCCTTTGCTCTTGAACCTCAAAAGTGCCGCAGCATGTATCGGATTCACGTTTTCTCATTGCACATATTAGCAATTGTAATTGTAATGCAAGTCTTGGAAACAACTTGCTTTAGGATTTCTAATACTCCCTCCATTTTATTTTATATGTCTTAAAACATTAATTCATTTAGTTAAAATACAAAAAAACCCCTATTAATTGTCTATACAATTCATCACAAACCAATAGAAATTCATTATAATATTATTTCATTTCCAATGCAAGGACAATTTTGGTAAAAGTGGATGTGCCTCGATTTGTGAAAACGACATATATTTAAAAAAATTTACCAAACCCTAAAATAACATATATTTCAAAATGGAGGGAGTAGTATTAAGTAAAAAATAGAAGGATTGAATAATAATTTCCATTTGTTAGGTCGGGGGGTTCAGGTCCTTCAGGATTATAAGTTGCCTCATTGTACTGAAATTTTAGCTTTTTCCACCAATTTGTCTTCTCAATCCCTAATTGCTTTTGCTCCAATTCGGTCCTTCTTCTCCATTCCCTAATTCGATTTACTCTTTGGTCACCGAAGTCACATCTTGTCACATAATAACCCATTTGAATCGACTTCTTGTGAAAAATCTAAACCCTAACTTATACTTATAGGATTGGGGTCCTGTCAAAACTTATCGTTGAGTCAATCAGAAAATTGACATCCCTAATCCGTTTCAACATAATCAGATTAGGGTTTTTTCCTTTTAATTAATTCAACTATTACCCTAAAGGTCATTGGAGGAAATAAGCAGTAATGCCAGTGGAAGAAGCATCACAGAATTTCCAGAAGAAATCATCCATCATATCCTCTCTTTCCTCAAAACCAAAGAAGCAATCCGAGTAGCTTCTTCATCCAAGGACTTGTACAACGCGTTTCGCACGATTCCCACTTTGGATTACGATTGGGAATATTTGAATTCACCGTAATACCCCTTTCCATCATCGTTCAGTTCGGACCACCATCACATGATCTCCATCATCACATGATCTCCACACTTCAAAGGTAACAAAAGGACAATATTTTTCTAGACAGGTTCGCCCTGAGTCACATTGACTCCCTATCTTGATCACCTTCAACAGAACATTTCAAAGAAGGTATCATACTTGCATGTCTCGTTCTCGCAGCGAACAAAGGTGTTCGAAATCTTGATCTAACGATTGATGGATTTGACTTTGGTTTGCCTGTACAAGTTTTGGAATTGAAATTCCTAGTTGAGTTATCTCTGCGGGATTGTAGCTTGATTAATAAGAGATTTTCTAGGCCAAATCTCAAACGGCTGTGTCTGATTCGTGTACATTTAGATCAGTCTGTGTTTGACAACATAACAAGAAGCTTCCCTTTGATTGAATCCTTGAACTTGATTTCTTGCAATTTGTATTGTGATACCATTTTCACGGTGACCAATCTTCAAAACCTGAAGCAACTGGATGTTAACATAAGGGAACATCAGACTATATTTGAAATTGGGACAGCTCCTAATCTGGAATCCTTTTCTGTCGACGCGTGGGGGAGCACCGAGATTTGTTTGCGTGAACCTCAGTATGCAACTTTGAAAAGGTTAACAATTTCGTACGGGATAGATGAGAAATTTTTCGACAATTTCCTGCGTAAGTTCCCACAACTTTTGTACGTGTCACTATCTTGCCTGGATTTGGAAAGAATCTGAATCTCGAGCATCTCCCTGAAACAAATAGGGCTTAAAGTGGTGCGTGCCGAGTTCACCAAAAATATTACTAGCTTGGACTATGAAGTTTGTAGATAATGGAAGCTAGGTCGATCCCACGAGGACAGCTAATTACCAAATTTGTTGTTAAAAAGACTACCAGTCAGACAAGGTGTCACTCAGGGGAATGGAAACAGTCACTCAGGGGAATGAGAGCCAGGGGTATTCTTCTCCTCTTCCTACTGTTGTAGTTGTTTATTAGCACTGTAATGGTTGAGTTCTTGTTCATTCAGCTCACTTATAACTCTAAGTCAGTTCCCATTTTTCCTAAAGTCATCTTTGCAACCTTAACAACCTATTTTCCAATGATTGATTCCAGTTACAAAGTCATTAAGTTCTTAGGCCTTCATGAATGCTTATGTTAACTAAGTATATTCCTATCTTAGTTAAAACCATAAACTGTTACCTCTATGTCATAAGTTAAAGTTGAAACAATCCAAACCAAGTTTATCTTTCCAGATCTCCCTTAGTTCTAGCATATATTCAATTTAGTGATCAAGTAAATGAATGTAGAAAAACTTTCAACTTCAAAACAAGGAATAAAACCAGTGCATTAAACAACTACAACATAGGTTGAGGAGAATAACCCCTGGAAGCTGCTTAGCTACTCATACAGATTAATGCTACATCTACTTCATCAAAAGACATCATAGAAGTAAGCATAATAAAACGAAGTTCAAGCTAACAGTCAAGAGACGCGAAAAAAACTTGTACAGTTTCTGAGCCACTCCTGAGAGTGAAAGGGTTCACTCATGGAATTGAAGCAGAAACTGGGATAACTGTTCTTCAACTTGGCTTCCTTACTGAGTGGGTGTTGCTCCTTCTTCCTTCTTGCCTTCTTCCTGGAGTTTTCCTGTGTGTTTTTGGCAACTGAAAGGGTAACCAGAGAGAGATCCCCCCTTTTCTTCTGAGAGTGAAGTTCCCCTTTTATAGAGCCTTGCAGCCGGTTCTTTAAACATGAGAGCCTCCCATGCTTTTGAATTGTTTAATCCTCCCTATGCCTTATGCCTGGAATCCAAACTTGACTGGTCTTCTTCTCTTCTTCCAGTAGTGGCAGCATTGCTCTCATTGATCAGCAGGGGTGGCTGGAATTTCGGCTGAGGGACAAGCATGCCTCTTGGAATTCAAATGAGAGACATACTCATTAATGGCAAGATGCTTCTTGTCTAGGGAGGTGCTTTTTCGTCCAACTTAGCAAACATTGCCTCAACAGTCTACAATTTGTTCCTTTGGCCTCAAATTTCCAGCAATTGTTCAATCAAATCCCAACCTAATAAAAACACGAAAACCAGTTAAGTAGAATGCACTAATAATAGGAAATATCCCCAATTTCTTACTAATTCAGAGTTAATTGTGATGCTTTTATGTAACAAATAAACCATTATCATAAAGATAATTGTAATTTACAAGAGGCACTACTTGATATGCCTAGCATTGTTGTCTTTGAATATCAAGGAACGAGCACACCAAGGATTTCGTTCACTGGTGTCTCTCGTAGATGGAAATCTTTCCTCCAGATACGCTACGAAGGGCTAGACAATTCATCGTGGTTGTTAAAACTGAAGGCATTTCTGATGAGACTAAACGGATCGGAAGTGTATGTCACTCTTCCATTGGGACCACTCGAATTTTTCGATTTGAGTGAATCGTCAAAAGATTTCACACTCTCGGAAGCTGTAGAGATTGCCGAGTTTTTTGTCGAAATTGAGACACGTGACTGCTACTGGTTTCCATTTGAATCATCTACTTTTGCAGTGTTGGATGGTATCTTTCGGGTTTGTCGTCCTCGATTGATGAAAACAAATTTGAGTAGGGCTGCGACTGGGATTACAGAAGTAATGTATGAGATGTTAGTCCTGAAAAGTAACGCATACTACTATTGTCAGTTTCCACGGATTAATAGTACTATTTGGCAGAGCAGTTTGAAAGGAGTAACAGATGTTACTATATTGTATGATGGTTCACCTAAACAGCTGCGAAGAAACACGCCCAAGGATATTTTCTTGAGGTTTTTGAAAAATCGAGGATGTGGCATCTCATTTGCTTCAACTTGGAATCGAGAACTTGCGACAACCCTCGTGAGAGGGAACCAACTGAAGAGTTAGTAATGTCAAGGCTTGAGTTAGTTAAACACAAAAAGACCAAACGTTGGTACATTCTTTCATATTGATGTATACTCTATTATTTTATTTTTTATTTTTTTTTTGTTCACGGATGGAGGTACTTTTCTGAGCATTTTGTTTGATGTACTTAATTTGCACGAAGTTGATATGGATTACCTCCAATTTTATAGAATTGATGTTGCAGAAGACTGGTCTCGAGCTGTGGTTAATATTTTTCACATGTGTGTTTTATGTGATTTGAGACCGGAAAAATTTCCGAATTTCTTTAACAAAGAGATTGTGTCTGAATTAAAGTTTTTCTCTTTTGAAGTTGAATAGAACATCCCATGTTATGCTAATGAAAGCTGCCAAAACATGTGGATTCTTAGTTCGAGGGATGATTAATAAGGATTTTGAGAATTGACCACTTTAGGTTTCCGCAGGTAGCAAGTTTTCAATTTGGTCTCGTCCAACCATTTTAGCTGCGGCATTGCAAATAATTTTGGGATAAAAAAAAATAGCAATAGATATATTTTACAGTAGCAGCAATTTTTTTTTTTTTTTACCTTTTTTATTAAAATACAATACTTTATGAAGAATCATCAAAGATATTAGAACCAGAAATCTGCATTTTGGCTAGTGGAGAAACAAGAATGTAATTAAAATTAGTTACATTCCTTTTTTAATAGGTACTAAAACCCAAGCCAAGAAAAAAGTTAACCCTATTTGGGAAATTATTACACAAGATTAACAGTAATTAGATTCCAATTGATATTGTTAATTTTTTAAAAAGTGACAACAAACAAAAAAAAACTGGTTACATATTAAGGTCTTGATAAAGAGTTTTTTTTTTTTTTTAAGCTACGTAGGATGTGAAATGTAGGATGTAGTAATTATATGGTAAAAATTGTCAATATGGGTGATTACAAATTAGAAATAGTTAATTAGAGTGAACTAATTATTAGTGGGTAAATAAAAGCATTAATTAAGAGGACACTTGTCACTCATTTATAAAGTGTTGTGGGAAGTAGTGTAGGAAAATGGGTTAGATGATTCTTATCCAACAAAATATTATCACCTTCTAGATTGTACTCCTGATTAGAGATATGTACTAGATATTTTCCCGTGTAAATACAGTATTAAATTGATACTTAGATGTAAAAAGTTTAACCACGTTATGGCTCAAATTTTATTCTCTCATTGTTAGTTGTACGAATAATATTAACATCAAACCACTGAATTTGAATATAAGGAAAATAGTTCATTTGAGATTTTTTTATCATTCTGCTTGTAGAGTTCTGATTTTTTTCTCCAACATAAATGGTGAGAGATGACGGTTTTTTTAAATAGTGAAAAAATGTCATATGGAAACACAAATAATTAAAATTTTCTCCAAACAATTATTTTATTAAAAGATAATTCTTATTGTATTTAGTTATAGTTAGTTTTTCAAAATTACGCAGGATTGACTTGTTATGTATTAGACAGGAAGACTTTTAATTATAATGTGATGTATCTTTCATTTCTCTCTAATAGTTAACATATAATAAAATAATTATTTGTAACTAAAACTACGTAGTTTCATTTTGGAGGGAAAAGATTTCATAAAAGCGCAATGCCTCGTCACTTCATCCTTTTTGGTCTCTTTTTTTAATAGGGTATATTGATTACTCACTATATCCAAAAAAAAAAAAACTCCATATTGAGTTTTGTGATTTGTACAATTTTTATTGAAATGGAAAAAAAACTACTTCTTTCAAGTCTTGTTAAAAGTCTGCGGTAACACTTTCTGGTTAAAAGTCTCAAATTGCTTTTGTTTTTCAGTAGTCTAGCTTCTTTCCGCTTTGAAATCATACTACATATTGAATTTTTCTCTCCAATTTTTCTTAAACAGTTTCTCAAAACAATGAAACGGGAGAAAAACTACTCCTTTCGATTCTTATTATAGTCATTTTGATTTGTCTTGAATTTTACTTAGTATATATTTCTAAGCAAAAATAAAATTTTAAAATTATTTTACAAAAATTGAGAGTAGACAATGAATGTAAAAATATATTTTAAGATTTTATATTCAATTATAAGAACCTAATAAATGATATTTTAGACAAATCAACATATCATGTAACAAGGTCCGAAAAAATTATCATACAATTGTGCACTACAAACCTTGTACTATTATATATTCATTCAATCTCAAAATTATTGTCCAATTTAAATTTTTATTTTGGGTTCAAACTAAAAATGAAAATCTAAACTGCACAGTCATTATGGGACGAAGAGAGTATAAACATTAATTTAACTATAATTATGTTTTAAACCTCAAAGGATGAGATTTTATGCAAATTGTGCCATTTTATGTATATTGTTTTTGTCCATAAGGAAGTTTTTTATTGGAGTCAAATTCAATATCTCTTACTTACCTAACTTAAGTAATGTGGCATCACACAATATTTATGATTTTGATTTTGTTACGTTGGTTAACCACGAGAACTAATGTTGCATTTTCTGAGTTCTGATCTTTATTATAAATCATTTTGATTTGTCTTAAATTTTATTTAATATGTTATTTTAATTAAAAATAAAATTTTAAAATATATTTTTACATTTATTGCATTCTCTTAATTAATATAAAAATATTTTTAAGATTTTATTTTTAACTAAGTGAATATAATAAATGAAACTTATGACAAATCAAAATAATATATAACATGCATAGGAGAGAGTACTACAATAATAATTTTTTTAAAAGATGAAAAATAAATAAAAAATAGAAAAAGAAAAACATAGGACTGTCATTCTTAAAAATTCCAATCTGCTCACTAAAGCAGCTTCCCCCTAGATTTCCGCTTTTTCCCTGTAAAGCGGATGCCTGTTTCTTACACCATGGCCTCTTCAACTAGAATGAAGATCGTTTTTGGACTCCTCACATTCGTTGCTGTCGGTATGATTATTGGTAAATTTCATTCTCCAATTTCTCTTCTTCATCTTGCCTTCTATACTATACTTGCCTGTATTCTCTTTCTCTGTTTTGTTTGATCGACAATTGAAAAGGTACTGCATTCTGGGTTCTTTTGAGGACAATGGAATGGCTTAGATTTGGGTTATTTTCCAATTTTCCTCTATGTTTCCAATTTCGGAACTGGGAGTTACGATTCTGGTTTGAAAAAAAGTTGATTGGTTTAAAAGCTCAAATGGGTTGTGATCTTGCTTGGAATAATGATTTGGATACAGTACTGTTGATTTTGACTGAGATGTGGAAAGGAGCTTCACCAAGTTGGTTTTCTTTTGCGTTTAATTGTGTTGAAACGTCATTATTCATTAACTCGATTTGTCAGCAATGTGGTAAATGTTGTTGATGTCGAAATTTTAGTGCAAATCAGGTAGAGCTTTTTTGAGCTAGCATTTTCAATCAGTCTGTAAAATTGATCAGATGTGGATAGACTCAGTGACTTGTTAATTACGAGTGAAATGAAATCTGTACAAAGCCTGATGGGAACCTGATTTTGTTAAGTTCAGTTTTATGTTGCAATGGAAAAAGTTTATCTTTGTTTGATAACCATGGCTCATTTATTGTTTCATTGCTCTGGCGTCCTACTAAAGATTAGTGATGATTTTGAAATCAATCATACAGGAGCATTCTTACAGCTGGCATATATTCGCAGATTGGAAGATTCATACGGTATGTTTAAAGTTCTTCTTGGCATTCTACTTGTTCAACTATATGTCTGTCAGCTGTAGTTTAATTTCTTACTTTTTTCTTTGTTTCTTTCTCCTTTATTTGTATTTGATTTTATCATGTCCTCATCTGTATTGATAGTTATAATGGTAGTAGTAATGGTCATTGGAACGTGATAAAGGCTTTTACAGTTTTCTTAGTTTCTTGTTCGCAATGGTCTTGTTTCCTATAAGGTTTTGACAAGGATGTCCAAATTAGAATTTCATACATATTCCTTACAGAATAGGGTGCCAGTGGATGTGACCACAGAGTTGACACAGGGATTGATGAAGGGCTCGTTAGATGTTTAAAGCATATTAGTGAAAGCAATTTCATTTAAGCCAGTGATACGTAGTCGTTTCTGATGATATATATTTCTTTAGCTTGGCGGGATAGAGACATTAATTTTTCTTTTTAAACCCTCTGCGCTATGGACTGATGCCTTTGCTTTATGGGTAAAGCTGCTGATCACTTGTGAGCAGTTTGTTTTCCCCCTTGACATGTGCTATCCTTTGACTCCACATTAATTTGTAAAGAAAGTAACTGTGGGCATTTAGTGACTGGCAATAGAAAGTGGCCATGCAAAATCTTTGTTTAGTACTGCTGAATGAACAATTTAATCTTATCTGAGATCTTTTTATTTCATAGAACTATTGTTAATAATTTGTGCACACTTTTTGTTGATTAAAGAAAATATTTTTCATTTCAATCTTGAAGCAAGATTCACAATTTCCTGTTGAACTAGGCTTAATAAGTCAACACATAAGGAACTCAAATACGCAGGTGTTATAGTTTTTATGTCCTGTTTCTTATTTCCAATTTCAGTCCATATCATTCTTCTTGACCATAGTGCTTGATAGTTCATCAAACTTCACGGTTTTTGTACCAAAACCACAGTTCTTCAGAAAACTGACTATGATGCTAAAAATTTATTGAAATCACTTGTGTATCAACTTTCCTAAATGGTTTCCCATGATACATTGTGACAATTACTCTACCGATAGTGTCTACCATTCCCATATTACGCTGTGTCTTTCTTCTTTACCTTAGTGTAGTTCATCGAACTCTATGTCTTTTCACCAGAACCACATTTCTTCAGAAAACTGACTAATGTTCTACACAAATTACTGAAATTACTTCGATATCAACCTTCCTAAATGGTTTCCCATCATACATTGTGGTAATTACTCTACTGATGGTGGAAAATATTCTGTCATAACCCTGATTTAAGTATCTTATGATAGCTTATTTACATTCAAAGTTATCATCAAACAAGCTCCTCATATTCAGGATATAATTTGTAAGACTATCCCGTTGCTTTCTCATTTAACTTTACCACAGCCTAGTTTATGCGTTAAGTTTAATAACCTCAATTGCTACAGATTATGTTAGTTTCCAGCCAAGAATGAAATTCTTTAACAAATTGTTTTCTTAAACAGTTCTTGGTTTTATGCCCTTACTGGAGCTGCATAGCCATAAGTGCTGTTCCCATGTGACCTGGTCACAAATTTGTTGCGGAAATATTCTATTTCGAAATGTAACGTAGCTTCATGCATCAATACTTAATATGCCGACCCTTCACTGACCATGCACATTATGGAGCTCCTATGCCCTGCAGCTGTCCTTTTTCCTCTTACAGTCGATTTTGTGGTGTCATTTATCATTCAAGTTCTTTTCGTGGTCTCTTCTTTTCCAGTCAATAGCTGATGTATAACGTATTTGTAATGCTCATGAGATTCTGATTAGACTAGTTTTTTTATTCTGACATCAAGCTGTACTCAGAACTTAATTGTAATAAAATTGGGATCTAAGACTTCTGCTCTTTCTTATAGGTTCTGGATCGTCCTTTAGAAGAACCCTTGAAGGCCGGGCTGATGGCGGTGGTGGTTCATTAACAAGAGGTTCCTCCTTTTCTTCTGATGTATATTCAAATTATGCACAGTAGCACAAGTGCAGGATCCCCCATCCCCTTCTCCCTACTTTATATGTTATTACATTCAAAACATAAAATTTTACAATGGAAATGCATCAGCACTCAGTCCTCGTATGTTTTGCTGTTCATGTTTGTTTAGTAATATTGCCCTATCGTTGCCCCACATGAATTCTAATATGAACCTGTACAACATTATAGCTAATGGACTTCAGAGGTGTGCGCAATCAGCCTGTTTAATTTTATCTGCAAACTAAAGGAAATGGATCCCACTTATCTTCACAATTTATTGATTTTTCACTTATTCGGATACTAATTATTTATTATGTGCTGATCCTACTTCCTTTGATAAATACAAATTGAACATAGCTGCCAAGAAATCTTTGTGTTCTGCACTTCCATTAGCTCAACCCATGTGTTATACTATGCGAACCTCCAAGGGATACTGTGTTTTCAGTATGCAACTAGATCTATGGGCTATATTTTCTGGCCCTTCATTTCAAATGATTGTATTATAAGAGGAATGGTAATGCGGCTGAATCCATCTAAAGAAGCCATGAATAATACATTTTTTGTTTCCGTATGTTTACCAATGGATTATGCTATTTAAGAATAGATGGTGAGGTCAAGCCCTTCCGTCAGTTTTCAGTTTCCGATTTCCATTTTAGCAGTTATACTTTTACAAACTGTCAAGATTCACAGACATTTAGGTGTTATGGTCTTTGGATGATGGAAGCTGGTTTCTTGGCTCTTGTGTGCATGATACATCATCCTATAGTCCTATCTTTAGTCCACCTGAATAATTGACTACGGCATGAGTAAAATCTCTTCTGTTTAAACAAAAAAGGATATGATGAGAAAATCATCTTGTGCTTTGAACAGCTAATCCATATAAAGTGCTATCCTTTGAAAATAGGATTGTGTATGTATCAACTAGTTTTGGATAAATAGCTGCGAAAATCATTTGGTTTTCATTTTTGCAGTTCTACTGCAGGCTCTGATATTAATCTCTTTCTTCGTGTATTCCAGGTTACTCTCATTGGGCTTACGACAAAGAAGCTGTAATTTTACGTGTTGGTTATGTATGTTTGCATTTATCCTTTCCATGCTTACTGAAGTATTGCTCTTTAATTTGGTGATGCATAATGTCAAGTTGACTGCAAATGACCACTTCGTCAATGTGAGTAGCAAAAACTAGAATTTAGAAAGGTTTTACGTAAAGTGAATGACAAAGAAAGTGTGAATCAAAGTTTTACTGAAGTTGAACCAAGACCTTACATGTAAACCTTGCCAAATAAGCGCACGTCTTCAAATAAGAAATGCACTTGTTGATGCTTTCTTGTGTTTCCATTTTTCTGCATGTAAAGAGTCATGTCCAGTGTGGAACTTGTTTTGCTTCACAAACTGAAGATGCTCTTCTCCTTGTTTTTTGAGTCTCATTTCTCTATGAAGTTAGTTCATGATTATCTTGTATGCACATCAATTCGAGAGAATATTCAAGAGACTATTGAAATTAGTTTGAGTGCTTTCCACATGGAAAGAGGAACACTGGTGCTTAAGCAAGCTGAAATTAGTTGGATTAACAATTTCATCATACAAAAACTACCTCTCTTGTTTGGTTAGCTTACTGGCTACATAATGACTCAGAGAGGAGAGCTTTAACTTGCATTCTTGCAAGCTGATCATGATGAGCATGTTAACCTAGATACAGCTGATTAATATAAAGAATTTAATATTAAATTCTTGTGAAGAAATCCCTGTTTCCCAAGGACGTATTGAGGGAAAAAAGGTGACTGCATGTGTGATCAGGACATATTTTCTGAGACAACATCGTTGATTTTAGGATTTTCTTTGGTTTTTTTAGTTCGTTCAGGACAAAAAATATAGCAGAGGCATTTACATTTTTCTTGAGACTAAATTATCTTTGCAATTTGATCTCTCCTGATTAATGTTGTGCCTCGCAAATTGATGCGTGCTGATGCAATATTGTATTAGTACTAAATGCAAACATGCGTTTGTTTTACAGGTCAAACCTGAAATAATTAGCTGGTCACCTCGAATAATATTGTTTCACAACTTCCTAAGTCCAGAGGTATGGTCTATGAAAATTTCTGTAATTTATTTTCTTCAGTTTGCTCTTTTCTGAGCCTTATCAATTATGCACTCTTCTTTTTTTCACTCATCTGGTTTTGGATTGGTTGTTCTTGGGGACTTTCTTTTTACTACATGTAGGCCAGAAGAATGCTAATGAGGTGACTATATTCGAACAGCTGTATTGTTATTCATTTTTTTCTGCATAGTTTTAATATACCTATCATTACCATGGTGTATTCTTTGGGACTGAATTTGTAAGAATTATTAAAGGTGTTGCTGAAGTCCCTCAGGACTGCAATTGTATTCTGCACCATACAAAATGAACATTTACATACCTTATTACTCCTCTTCAAGTTGTACTTTCTAGAACTTCCTGCTGAACCACAAGTAATTTCCAAATTCTTTGCTATGTGCAAATGTCAAGATCAAGTATTACTTAGATTTTCAAGACATCATCTGTCCATTTGATGGACAACTTTTTAGCCCAAAATCGGTAAATTTTTGTCATGACTTTACTTTCTTCCACTTCTGATAGCTGCTTTAGTATGTTGTTTCTTGCAATTTCAATTGTTCTTGCAGTTGGATATTACCGTTTATACATACATCTTGTCTTGTGGTCATTTTGAATTTATCAGAAAAAGAAAATACATTTAAACTTGCAGAAAAATACATGTATTCATGTTGCACAATGGCTACAGATGATCCATATCTCCAAGACCATGTAGTCAGATAAAGGTTTAGTTGTTGTTTTGGAGGTCATTTTTTGTGATCATTTAAGCAGTTCAAGAACATTATTAATGCTTGGCTTTCATTTGATCTACAAGCTCTAATCTCCTCTGTTTTATTGAGTTCTTGAATCCTTTTGGGGTGGATACTACTTGTGCAATAACTTCGTATTTGATAGTAGGTAATTCTTGGTAACAAGTGATTTCTTGCTTTTTGTGCAGGAATGTGATTACCTTAGAGCCATTGCACTACCGCGTCTCCAAGTATCTACTGTTGTTGATGCAAAAACTGGAAAGGTTCAGTGATAATCATCTTGAGATTGTATTGCAGGGTGCTTTATCTTCCTGAACATCATCGTGTTCATATATGAGATTTAGTTGTTATCCTTGTTGTTTACACAATTTTTGTTTTAGTCAATTTGTGTTGCAAGTCTAACCTTTAAAAGATAGCTTCTTATTGAAGATTGAAAGTACAAACTTTTGTCTCATACATGACACTGCATTGGCAGCACCTCTCCCTAATTTCAGTTTATTACTCATCTACTGTATTTTCTTAGTCTTCTATTTTTTATTTTTTATTTTTTATTTTTTATTTTTTATTTTTTTTTCTGTCCAAGTACTGATGCGCAAGTAAAATTTCTTGAGCTATATATATGGAATATAAAATATCAAGTCTTATTTTTAGTTACTGATTTTCTCTGAAATCATTTTAAGTGTGAGACTTAATTTACATAGTTTTTTGTACAGTATTTTTTTCTTTCCCTCTCCATTGACTTTGCTTTGTACATAATAGTCATTTATCTCCTCTTTCTTATTGCTTTTGTGTCTGACTGCTACATAGCCTTGTCTTTCCTTTCTTAGCTTATTTTTCATCTTTCTTTCCCCATGCATCTCCAACTTTGTCAATTTCTGTAGGGGATTAAGAGTAATGTAAGGACAAGCTCTGGGATGTTTTTGAGCCACGAAGAGCGAAAATATCCCATGATTCAGGTTTGATTATTTGAAGGCCATGTAAACTCTCTTTGCTACTTGTTTTACCTAATAAAAGAATACTTCTCACTCTCTGACATATTGGGCTTATTCTTTTTTCTATATCTCAATAAATTCTTCATGTATTTTTCACATGATGAGTAGCTTAATCTTTTTGTAATGAATTGATGATTCTTGCGGGATCTTCATTATTTCATGCACTTCTGATTTGTCTTACCTATCATGAAACTAGAATGTGTTGTAAAATTCATAGTATCATTAGTAATTCATATCCGGAAAAGATGTGAACTTGCTGAAACATATTCAAATGTTTAAATAATAATGTTGTTTGCCTTTACTGCTACAAATATGGAGAGCAAGTTATATGATGTCTTTTTTTATTTATGGAGATGCAAACATGTTCATTTCTTTTGATTTGCCCTTCTCTTTCTGCAACCAGGCCATAGAAAAGCGTATTTCCGTATATGCCCAAGTACCAGTGGAGAATGGCGAGCTTATTCAAGTCCTACGGTGAGTACTTTGTCTTTGGTCTCTGAAGGTTTCATTTGAAGTGTAAAACTGATGTGTTCATGTAAGGGCTAACGTTTGCAGCACAGGTATGAAAAAAATCAGTTCTACAGACCACACCATGACTACTTCTCTGATGCTGTAAGTTTTTCCGGGCTGCTGCTGAACATTTATTACTGAATTACTTCTAGCTAACCTGTCCAGCTATTTGGGTCCAACAGTTTTAACCTGAACAGCACTTGTGCAGTTTAACTTGAAGCGTGGTGGTCAACGAGTGGCAACTATGCTCATGTATTTAAGCGATGGTGTTGAAGGAGGGGAGACATTCTTTCCGATGGTACGTTATGTTAACTGAAGCATATTTTGTGTTTTTTTTATTAGACCTTTTTTGTATAACTTGGACTCGAACTGGACGAGTTCTTACAGATTAGCTTACATATTATTCTCATTTTAGCGCTAAGTGCCTTGTTGGTTTAATACTTTGAATAAATAAATTCTTTTTTTCGCTACAACCATCAGCTTAGACATAATATCTGAAAGAAAATATAAATCTGTTGTTTTAATGTTTGAACTGAAGATGTGTACTTTATGTTAAATATTTTACTGTACCAATCTTTCATTGTTGTTACAGAATGTTTGTTCTAGTCCATTATTGGATGATCATCTTGGTTTCATATCTGAATTATTTATTCAGGCTGCCTATAATTTGTATCGGCCTGGAGGACATAAGTCAATGTGGTTAGGTCAAGATCTAGTAAATGTGTGGAATCCTCAATTGAATTGCTGTAATTGTACATAGTAGATCGAATTACACCAATTTTCAATACCAAAGAAACTCTGTAGGCAAGTTGAAGTGCAAAGGACTCTCTTGATCATTTGTGTTGTTTCCTTTGTGGTTTAGTTACTAGCTGGATCTTCATTTCTGGTTTGAATCTTTGTTTGTCCTCAAATTTTCCACAGAAGATCTTTTTAAGAACAAAACTAAATGAAATCAGTGTAGGAATTAAAATTTCCTGAACATATGAGATGTCAAACTAAAATTGATTGTATTTAATTCAGTTTGAATGTATTGATGACATTACACGTGAAAGGATGTAGTAACAAGAAAACCCTTGTTCTTTCTGTCTCCGGACCGTGAAGCAATTGTCGCCATTTTCCTCTGGTGTGTTTAAAAAATGGAATAGCTCTAGTTCTTGTTCTGAGCACTACCTAAAATCCTAATGTTACATTTTGTTGGTTTTCTTTTTTATTTTAATTTTGTTTTACACTTTTTTGCTTTGAAAGAACAAGTATATGATTTAATCTCCTTGTTTGTAGCTTTATGTTGATAGGAAATAAGTTGTGATTGTCTGAGTCTAACCGGTGAAATTGTAGATTCTGCATTTTAAATATTCCTGATAACTTCTTTATTGGCTGTAGCGGAACATGATTCTATGTTAAACAGTTAAATGATGCGTCCCTTTTTTGCAGTTGAAATCACTTACTGATTTTTTATTTATTTTTTTATTTTTTTAATTTTTGTCCGAATCAGGCTGGAACTGGGGAATGTTCCTGTGGTGGCAAAATGATGAAAGGCTTGTGTGTAAAACCTACAAAAGGAGATGCTGTACTTTTCTGGAGCATGGTTTGTTTTCTGTACTGACAACTCATCTTTGTTCCTTGAAAGACTAAGACCAAACTATTGTTTTCTGGTAGTAAAAGTAATCAATAGTTCCAAGATTTTTTTTTTTTGCATGTGGAGAACATTTTAGTTGAACTTGATGTATCTGAGTTTCCTAATTATATCCCCTTTCTGTGTGAAGTATAATTTCTGGAGTTGTAATCTGAGTAGTTAGAATGAGATGATCTTCTGAGACCTTGGCTTGACACAAAAGCAGAAACTTAATAGTTTAGACCAGAACTCGAGGCCTATTGTTTTGAGGGTGTGATGTAAGTTTTTGAGAGTTGTATGGTGCGAGTGTTATTGACTGGTAGGAATATTTGTTTAAAATTTACAGCAAACTATTCAAAGTAGAAATTTAGCAAAAATCTGGAATGCTTTGGGGGAGATCTTTATTTCTTTCAGTTATAGAAGAATGTTTCATTACAATATCACAAAAGCATGAACTTTCACACCTTCTTGCCTAATTACACCCATATAGTAAAAATCATGCATATTACTGATGACATCAAAGTTTCCTTTGACCCTAGTTATATCTTCGACTGGCAACATCCACATTCATGTTTCTTACTCGCATGTTTTTTACTCTTGTAGGGGCTCGATGGACAGTCCGACCCAAATAGTGTACATGGAGGATGTGAGGTACTGGGAGGAGAGAAATGGTCAGCTACCAAATGGATGCGGCAGAAAGAGACGAATTAAAGTGCTCCTTCCCTGTTGATCTTAGACTTTTATTTTCTGAGTTTCATAGGTTTTAGTGTTAGAATACCATATTGATCAACAAAAAAGAAAATGAGTGTAGTTTTAGTGTAGCCTTACGATGTAAGCTGTTCTTCAACCAAATGGCTTGTGATTCTATAGGATGAACCTCACTGTATAGTGTGATTAATAAAAACATGTATATTGATATTCAGGTCTTCTTTTAGTTCCTTCTACTGATATTTTACCTTTCTTTTTATAGTCTCTAATAACTTTCTATTGAACTAGATAAGTAAATTTCTTTTTCCAAAAAAAAAAAAAAAAAATCTTCAAAACATTTGAAATTAAACCTCTCATAATTTTGATATTTCCTTTAAATTGATTGCCGGATTTCTGCCTTGATTCCTGTCTATGTGAAGAAATATGAAATTTTAAGAGATAGAAAAAGCAAAACCCCCCACCCCCCCTCCCACAGCTCGTGAATAAAAATGTTCATTTTGGAAATGCGGTTTTTGGGCCGTTCTGTTCAGCCATCTTTTCTAACAATAGTTAAGTGCTCATTTAAGCATTATTACAAACACATGGTTCACTAAAATTCCTTATCATATCACTCATTAATCAAGTTTCTTATCAAAGCTTTGGTTGCCGTTTAGACTTTTTACTGAAAAATTTATTTTATGATAGTGTATTTTTACAAGCGGTCTTTAAATTAATTAAATACTATATGTTGCGTCGAATCTCTTCAACTCGGTAGTTGTCAGAACTATTCTTATCAATGTGTTAATAAATCATCATAGTTTTGTACGTTTTAATTTTAGGGAAAATTCTTATTAAGGGCGTAATGTCTTTCATTATTCTTGATGAGGGCGTAAAACTTTTAAAATTTATTAAGGGCATAATCAATGCTTAATACACTAAATATACTTTTGATGTAACTTTTTATTAATGACTTACATTATGATTACATCCTTTTGGAAGGAAAGATATATATATATATATATATTAATTTCATTGATTATTTTTTGAAATTGATACCTGCATAAACTATCCTAAATTTTTTTTGACTTTTTGAATTTTAAAAATTCCATGATATGTGAAAAATTGAATTAATGACATCTCTTTGTTATCGAAGTAAATCTTTACATTTCTACACATAAATGACGAAAACAATTAGCATTAAAGACAATCGATTTTTCCAATTTGAATTTTTTAAAAAAGTTAAGTGTAAGACTTTGCATGGAACACATAATCAACAACGCGGGGAAATTTAGATTAAATCCCTTTTACCCTATTAAAACAGAATACAGGATATTGATGTGGCAACTTCTTATTAAAAAATTTTGGCTCCAAATGTACCATATTGCATTAACCATTCTGCCACGTGTCATCCCCTTTTAAAAGAAAAAAAAATTCTTATCCAAAGAAACAAAAGCTACTTTACAAAAATAGCTACATAATTTTAACTCCTAACACTTATCACTTATCAATCAAATTAAAATAGCATTTAAATTTGTCCATAAACTTATCCCCTTTATGATTCCACATTCTTTTGTATGATTTCTGTATCATTGTGTTTTTCAATATTTTTTCTTCTTTTACAGATGATTTTTTTATTTTTTACTAAAAAAGGGGAAAAAACAAATGTGTAACTATTTTATTTTTTCCAAATCAAGAATTCATTTAACTATTAACACAAAATTAAAGTAGAGGGGCGTCCGGGCATCTGCCCGGTCCAAGCATCTAGTTATAAATTAAAGCATAAAACTTAAAAGCAAGTATATTGACCTCTTTTTTTCGGGGGAAGGGGGGGTTGGGTTATGAAGGCACCATAATATGCTGAAATTTCTGCTTCTTCTTCATCTGTTTTTTTTTTTCACTAAAATTATCGATTTTAAAATTACATTAATTCATGTAACTCAAAACTAATTTAGTTTGTGCTGTTGAGTTCGGAAATTTTTTTTAGAAAAAATTAGAAGAAGAATCCAACATAATAGGTATAATATTTTGCCAAGAAATGAATAAAAAATATCTCATTAGTAATTACATAGAAAGGGCAGAGATGTCAAGAAACCATATTTATTGTAATTTGACATTTATTACGCCCTTACTAAGAATTTTAAAAATTTTACACCCTCATATGGAATTATTAAAGTTACAACGCGCTTAATAAGAATTCTCCCTTAATTTTATGAATCTAATCTATCCCAAAATAATTCACATTGATTATTGAAATTAATTCTAAAAATAGTTTGAATCTTAAAAGTTAATGTAGATTATCTTTTTAGTACTTTGTAATATTATTATTGGTTGCCTCTTATTACACCTCTTCGAAATTTAAACTAGAGCTAAAAATTTGGCTGATTTTAAAATTGTTTCCACCTAAACTAAAATTTTTCATTAGTTAGTTGTGATTAGAGTAACTCCAACCATTGAACTATAATTTCAGCCAAATTTAATGTAAAAATAGAATATTTCAAGTATCTTTTTACACTAAATGTCTTTTTATTTTTATTGTTTAAAATCTTAGAATTTGGTAATATTTTTATTATATAGGTTATTTCCTAATTTTTTAAAATTTAATTATAGAAGTATCAATTTTTTCATATTTAATTTCCATAATGACTAAATTTTTTTTAGGAAAAAAAAAACAACATTATAGTCCATATGGTTCTTGTTTTGAAAATCTCAACAAAATCTTTAATATGATATAGATATCATAATACTATTCATTTTATGAGTTTAATCATATAGCTAATGATGTATTTAGAGGAAAATAGTATATAAAGATGGTGGAATTGACAGTTTATACTAAATTGGATGTAACAATTCATTGCTATAAATAGTGCATTGATTTAGTTTTTTCCGCTAGAGTGCGAATATACCAAAACATTAAATTTGGTTGGAGTTCGAAGTTTGCAATAAAAATCTTCGCATATCCTAGCTTCTTGAAATTTAAGGCCGTCTTTAGGGCAAAACATTTGCAATGTTAATTCTGCTGTTTTTTCCCCGTAATTTGCATTATAACTTTTGGCGCGGTATCAAAGAGACCCGTAGTCCAGAGATCTTGTTAACTACCCTTAACCCCATCGTACTAACAAAAAAAGCTTATGTAAAATGAATAATACAAATAATGAAAAATATTTGCTTTTATAAAATTTCCTGGAATAATTTTCTTACGTATTTCTTAGTTTTACATGGGTTTATCATTTCGGAAAGGACAATTATAGATTTTCAGAAAATAAAACCCAAAGAAAGACTGGAATAATATAGTGTTTCATTAAAAAGATCGGTAGTGTACTGAACAGCTTAAGCTCATGGCTAAGAAGGGATTAAGATTTAAAAGATTAAAAAAGGTAGTTTCTATAATTTGAGCTCAATTATTTCAATTGATGAACTAAATTGAGCCAAGTACTTGTTGATAATTCCAATTCAAGTTTAATTGACCGGTTTGTGAAGGCAGGTGATAATCTTGGAGATAATTTGCAACTTTGAAAGCAATTTTTTTTTGGAATCCCAAGATCACTCTTCTACTACGATTTTTGATATGTTTCTCATATTTATCTCGATCCATTCAGATGCTTCTTCCCAGCTATGCCATTCACATCAAGCTGCTTCGAAGTTGATTTTCCTGGAGTAATATTTTTCGGCCCCAACACTAGTAAAAGTTAATAAGCTATTGTGGAATCTAATCCAGTCCTTAATTTCATGGGTCAGATTTGCAGCTTCTAAAATTTCATAAAATGAAATTGAAAACCCTTGTTTGGAATTGTCGGAATAATCAATCGTACTAAATGACGAATCATTTATGCGTCAACTATATAAATAAATACGGGTCCTTTTAAATTAAGATCATCATTGTTACTTTTTTCAAAAAATTATCCAGTTCATGATGCACGCCATATATTCAATACCTTTATTAATGTTACTGCTCGAACACACAAAAAAAATAATTGGAGACTCCGGAATAACACATTACCTCAATTAATGATGGCGCTCGAGCACATAAAAATTTAATTGGAGAGCGCGAAACAATACAGGGTTATATTTAGACCAAAATTTTGAGCGTCGATTTGTGATCTTGACGATCGTACACAAAGACGGTGGGAAGAAATTGATTAAGTACTCCCTCCATTTCAAAATATAAGTGATTATAGACTCTGTACGTAAACTAAGGAGACAATGACAATTATTTAATAATTAATTTATGTGTTAAATATCTATTTTATCCATCATTAATTGCTTTGAAACTATAACCAAGACTATTTGAAAAGTGATTAACATTAACTATTGGGGGCAAAATTGGAAAGTTACCTTCAATTTGCTTTGAAATCCTAAAACGACCTATATTTTGAAATATTTCTCCAAACCTAAAATAACCTACATTTTGAAATGGAGAGAGCATATATTCAGATTCCAAGAAGTAGTGACCTCTTCATACTTTATGCATATAATAAACGTGTCACTCTTATGTAAAAAGGAAGAAAAAACTATTACGATAACATATTATTTCCTCTAAAGAAGCTTTTCTAGAATTTTTGTAGAATTACATTTAGTGCCAAGAAGACATTTGTACTCCCAAGAAACTTTTCTAGATTTTTTTTTAAAAATGCTAATAAAATAAAATAACCATTTTTAAATATAAATTTTGCTTTACATAAGTCTTGAAAGCAACCATCCTCTCCAAATTACTGAAATCTCAAAAGACTAGAATAAACTCATCGTCCGAATGGATTGTATGAGAATTTGAAAAAAAAAATCACGGAGGATCTCTTGGGGGGAACAAATATATTTTGTTACTCTTTTTTGACTGACATCATATACATAAATAATTTTCAATCATTAAAGGGACATTTTGATAATTTACTTACAAGTGGAGAGATATTTTTTTAAATAGTAAGGGTGTTTTAGAAAATCAAGTTAATCTCAGGGGTGTTTTTTATATTAACCCTACAAATTTTTAAAATCTTTTAGACTGTGCTCGGGCAACTGCCCGAACGGTGACA